AAACACCTTTCTAGCAGTAAAAACATCTTAAAAAACATAACCAAATTTTGTGTTATTCCATTCCTTAACAACTTTCTTTTCAATCTTGAACTTCCTTAGCAATTTCTGTATAGAATTTCCCCTCACATGATTCTTCCAAATAGTAGCAACAACTAGGCTGAAAATTCCACACATGTAAGAACCTAAAAGGTTTAGGAACATTTGCAATTTGGACAGGACATTGAACACACAAGCCCCAATGATTAGAGATAAGATGAGGGGTAAGAATAACATGAGAATTTGAATATGCAACACTCCAACTCTCATTCATAAGACCTCTATCAAGCTAAGCATAAATCTTCCTACCTACAAATCTCTTATTGCACTAGGTTTATTTGCCATTGATTATAGGACTATCTTTCACACTCAATTAATCATTTACACGATTAAACTCTTTTAGCTCTCTAGGAGATTTATCAAGGCCCCCCAATTTCTCATAGTTGAATCTGATAATGTTCCAATCCCTAAGAAGTAGCCAAGCACCATTAACAACAATATCAAACTCTAACAAGTCTTTCCATAAAGTTCTCTCCAAAATAGTATTAGTATCATACACGAATGAATCATAAAAAACATATGCACATTCTCTAACCTCCACTTTAAGTAGCATAACCTGGGCCCTAGCATCACAAACTTGAACCATAAGTTTTGTAGGATCCCAACTATACCAAATTCAACCCCATGTACTAGCATTATAATTGTGTTCCCAGTTCCAATTATTCTTAATTGCAGTAAAAATAGTATCAAATTTAGGAAGCTTCACCCTAGTCTTTACTAGACATACCAATGATAGGGAGAATTTCCCCAACCAAGAGCGCACTTCAAATTGCATTTTCTTTTTGTTGAGCCCCCTAACATTTCACATACCTATCATATCATGAAGACGTTAGTGGATTGGCTCCACCAGCCACCATACCTCTAGTAACTCGAATCAAGTTAGGGTCAAGTTCTAACTCCTTCTTCTTAGTCTTCTTTCTTTATTTTAGGAGAAGTTCTCTGAGTGGTGTCCTCTCCAGTAGCCTTATTTGACTCTAAAACATCTGCAGCAACATTGCTACTATCATCTTCCAATTAACAAGGAGAAACATCATTCTCAGAGCCAAACCCGGGAACAAAAACAATAGCACTTTCTAAGCCACAAACCTCCATAATAACATTAGGTTAAAAGGGAATAACACTGCTTTGAGGCATATCTGTAATTTTATTTTCTGAAATTTTAACCCCTTCCCAGTGTTTATTAATCTATATAACCACATCATCATTACTCGTACTATTCTTTTCTTCCTGGAGCTCGTCAATGACATTATCAACACCTATGACATTATGCACTTGTTCAGCCACAAGGACCAATTTTCCTTTCTATTTTACAACCCATTCAGTCACCACTTTCTTCTTAGTAATCTTCACGGGGCACTGTCCTTCTGAATGATTATAGCTCTTACAATTTCTGCATATATGAGGCCTCCAATCACATTTAACCCTAACTTCACAACTCTTATCATGGACATTGACATGAACCACCCTTGGAATATCATTATGCACATTAATTTCAACCAGAACTTTCACAAAAGCCCCTCGATCTCTAATCAAAGTGACTTCATCTGGAAATAATGGATTCGAGAACTTCAAGCACACCTTCACAATGGCCATGGAACTCCGGCAATGAACAGGTAATCCAACCAATCGAACCCAGATGGGAACTGATCCTAAAACCTCATTCTCCAAATACACATTCTTTTCCCGGCACTTTAAGATCATAGATCGCCCTTGATATATATGGATACGTGTAAGGATAGTGTTAACTGCCTCTGCTGAATCAAATCGTTCCATGAAGAATCCATCTTGTAAGGATATTACTTTAAAAGCTCTAACAGTTTTGCAGATTCCCTTCAAGAAATCATAGAAATGGGGAAAGTATGACCTCTTTCCAAATATATATCCAACAATGGGGAATTTCCAATAATCAACCTCCTCTTTGATATTGTCATCAAGAATCTAGACCACGATAAAAAAAACTCTTCCAAGATGTTTTCGGGGTGACCACTATGTGGGAGAACCCCCCCCCCCCCCCCCCCCCCAACGGCGGTAATGAGGAGGTAGAACCCTTCTCCATGTTCATAACGTGGCCAGTCCTCTACCCAGAGAAGTTTGTCACCAGTAAACCAAAACCCTAAAGTCGGCAGAAAGAGTCGCCCAAGTAGAGAGATATTTAGGAGCTTTGGTCAAACGGGGGTCTGGATTGGAAAATTGGCAATATTACAGTGCTTTTTAAGGTTTTTAGATGTACTAAGCATGATGATGATGACTGTTGGTAAGTTTGACTGTTGGTAAGTTTGACTGTTGGTTTGAAAAGTCAAATTTAGAGATGACTATTTAGTCCCTGCTGAAGGGTTTGGTTAATCACGGTGCTGGAGAAGGGTGGTGACTCTATAAGGGGTATACCTTAGGGTTTTTGGGTGTTCCGGATGTAATGTTGAAATTTGTTTGTCGTTTTGACAATCAGATTGAGGGGTTATAGTGTGAAATCCCTATTTTGCCATTTTGGGGGAATTGGTGATTAAGCTTTAGGAAAGCATACGACATGCTTGTTTCTAAGTGCTCCCTATGTTTTGGGATGTTTTGAGTGCAATGGTGAAGCTTGATTTTTGATCAAATGGTCAGATTCTCAATTTCCAGTTTTTGGCCGCACGTGAGCTCTATTGATAACTGGACTCAAGAGATAGAAACGCCATCCCTTCCCTATGACTAGGGATAATTGGGATGCCAAGTGGGGAGATAAAAATGGGGTGTGTACATGTTTGTAATTTGTCCAAATCTCAGAAGATGTCAGTATAATTTATATAATTTAAGGATTGTTATCCATGGAAAAAAAAATTATAGTACAGTTACAACTCTTAATAATAAGAGAAAATTTAAAAAAAACTTTACTTAATTATGCATATTTTAAAATATGCCAATTTTTTTTAAACTATTAAGTTTGACTGCCAACTTTATCAAACTAATTACAAAAGTGTACAAAAACACTATTTAGACTCTTTAATGGTCCAAAATGCCCTTATCTCATCCAAAGAATTTCAAATGCCCTCTAAGTTCCTTAACTCCATTGTTTCGCTTCCGGCTATTACAAGTGTACTGAAATGGGAAAAGATGACTTTGATTGTTGGGAAAAGGAAAAAAAAAAAAAAAGAAAAAAAAAAAAAGGAAATGGGAAAAGAGGACAGGAAGATAAGCTGAAAATATCATAAGTATAATCTATAGCTTGTGGAAACATCTATATAATCTGTAAGGTTTTTGCAATTGGGATTAAGGGACAATGGTTGATTGTAGGTGGAAAGGACATGTCTACCTCCTCTCATTATAGGCACCCATATTTGAATAAGGGCATCTCTATCCCTTGCCAATAAGGGCCTCAATTTCTTTTTAACAGAGGAAGTAGAACTTAGATTTATACTTGGTGCAATCCATAATCTTCTGCTCATTTCAGTGCCTTCTACCAAAAACTTTCAGATTGGCCTGAAGATGCTGCAATTTGGATTGCTTCCCGGTTTAGCATTTGACTTCCAACAGGCTCTTTTATTTGAGAATACACAATTTGGGAATAAACAACAGATGGGTTGTCACCAAAGTTTTGTTGGTGGTTGTTTTTTTGATGTGGGTTTGTATTCAAATCACAGACCCAAAACATAGAAGCATAAATAAGAAAAACAAAAAGAGGAACTTCCAGGAAGGATTCTTTTCCCTTGTCTTCAAAAACCCAATCAATTGGAACTACGAAAACATCAAAGATTTATATTCTGATTTTGGTCATATATAGATTTAGATTTATTTGGGAATTTTGTTTTAACACAATTTACTTATTTGACATTTTTTTTTAACGGAATGTGTTGTGGTTCGTGGCCGGAAACAATGGAATTTAGGAACTTGGAGGAGTTGGATTTTTTTGGAAGAGATAAGAGTATTTTGGACCATTAAAGAGTCTAAATAGTGTTTTTGTATACTTTTGTAATTAGTTTGATAAAGTTGGCAATCAAATTTAATAATTTGAAAAAGTTAATATATTTTAAAATATACATAATTAAGTATAGTTTTTTTAAATTTTTTCTAATAATAAGCACACTCATTTTTATTTTTTAAATTTTATATAATACTCTTAATAATAATTGTGCACCTCTTTTTGTTACTATGTATAACTTAAACTATGCGTAAATATCTCTTGTTATTAATTAGGACAATAATACCACTTAAAGCTTACAGTGAGTACATTTATAAGAAAATGGGTCTTCACCGCCTCCCTTCTGTAATTAACTTCTTGATATGTGTGTAATATTAATATATATATATACATGTGTAAATAATATTTGTGCGTAGACAAGAGATGTAGTAACTCGCCGCCACCAGCTAGACCTGATTGAGCCTCTAATTTTGTACTAGAATACTCAATAAATATATTACTTATAAGCATAAGACTCAATGAGTACATAAAAAAGGGCATGACATGACTCTCCACTCCAAACAAAATGAGCCACGTGCATTGGTCTGATCTCATCGGAAAAAAAAAGATGACCACACTAGATGCGTTGTCGATATTTGATTCATTTCTCGGTCACGTCATCGTACGAGATGTCCACTTCACGTCACTGACCCCACTGTACAGCTATTTTTATATACACTTTTGTATTATTTTGCTTCATTAAACCTTCTTTTTGTGTTCTTAACTCTTGATAGGTTACCAAAAAGAGAGAAATAAAAAAACAGAAAAGAGCTATTTATTTATTATAATAGTAATATATTTTCTTTCGATTAGGCTGTCTTTATCTTTACTCGTTCTTTTCTAAAATTTACCATAATAAGGAAACAATAAGGTTCTGAAATTTTTTAATCTTACTTTTTCTCTCTACTTTTGTAGTGCTTCGCTTTATTTATTGTTTTTCTCTTTTTGTGGGGGTGAGAGAACTTCAAATAGAAAACGACAAAGAGAATAAGAGATATATATGGAAATATAGTGTTTTGTGGTCTGAGAAAAAAAGAGATCCAAACATCAACCATTTTGAAAGAATCTATGTGCCTCTCTTCCTTATACATTTCTGGGTTTTGGATGTTACCATTCTTGTGAATTAAAATCTCACATTTATTAGGTTCCTGTCTATTTTTGACCAATTAATCTTTCTGGGTTTTCTGGGTATTTACTCTTCTGATGAAATTTTAATTTCTAGCTTCATATGCTTCTGTGCTAGCTCTAGATCTTCTACGTTTTGACTGTGTTTTTTGTTTTTAAACAATATTTTGACAACAATATGGTGTGTTTTTGGTCTTCCAAGATTCTTGGGTCTTTTGGGTTGTGACCAACCAAATAAGGGGAAGAAAAAATATATATTTCTGAATCTCTTGTGTTTCCTCTTTCATAAATTCATCTGGGTTTTCTAGGTTGTGATTTTATTTATTTATTTTTTTTCCCTCACAAAACCTTGGGTATTTTTGGTTTATTGATTTTGGTCTTTTGCTGAGCTCAACTACAAATTTTCTTGAGTTTCTTGCTATATTTGGTGAGTAATGGGTTTTTGTTACTGTTCATTTCATGGTGGTTTTGATTAGGGTTACATTGAATTGAGATAATTTACATATACAGGAGGAGATGGTGAGAGGAAAGGTTCAGATGAAGCGAATCGAGAATGCTTCGAGCAGACAAGTGACCTTCTCGAAGAGAAGAAACGGATTGTTGAAGAAGGCCTATGAGCTATCTGTGCTCTGTGATGCTGAAGTTGCTTTGATTATCTTCTCTCAGAAAGGAAGGCTCTATGAGTTTTCCAGCTCCAAGTATGTTTCTCATCATCTTACCCAATCAATTTCAGATAGCACCTATTTAATTAGTGTGTGTGTGTGTGTAAATTGTGTATAGTTTTTGTTCACTCAGTTTCCAAGTGATTTTTTGATAAAGCAACAAGGTAAATTAGGTCTGGTGCAGTTCCATGGAGCTCAAGCACAATGATCTTTGGGTTCCTAAATTAGCTTAGAATTAAAACACACTCGATCTCTCTCTATTTATATGTATTTATACACACACAAACACATATATAGTTTTGATTTTTTATTATTCATTGATTTTGTGAACAAAGTCTAGGTATTTTTATCATATCACGCAATGAATTTCACAAAGCACCTTTTTGTTTTGCGTGTGTTTGTGTGTGTATAGTATATGTTCAGTACTCAGTTTCAATGTGTAAGTGTCCATTAATTTTATGTGCTTTGTTGGTACTTTGATTTGATTTTTCATAAAGCAACATGGTTAGGCCTAGTGCAATTCCATAGACCTCGAGTACAATGATCTCAGGGTTTTAAAATTAGCTTAGACTTAAAACACACTCCAGGTGTTTTTCTCATAGCAATCAATAAATTAGTGCGTATATGTGTGTGTATATATGGTATATGTTCACCCGGTTCCCAAGTGTGGGCATCCATTAGTTTTATTTGCTTTGATTGTACTTTGATTTTGATTTTGGGTAAAGCAACAAGGTATGGTCATCTGGTGCACTTCCATAGACCTCAAGTACAATGATCTCAGGGTTCTTAAATTAGCTCAGATTTGAAAGCTCTTTGTCTGTCTTTATATGTATTAATTTATATATACACACACACATATGTATATATATATATATATCTGTGTTGGTCTGAATCAAATCCCTCTAAAATTGATTTGATGTTGATTTATTCACTATACTATTTCGTAGATTCTGTGAACATACTTTAAGATTTTTGTTCTTTAGACTCCATGATTTATGATGCATCAATTGTACTTTCATAATCATTTTGAACAAATGCTAACAAGTAGTTTTTGTTTATTTTTATTTATTAATTTATTTTTTGGCCCCCTTATTTCAAAATTTCGTGCAGTTCAAACTGGATAGACACGTGAGTTCAATCTTGGAACCAATTTTAATAATTTCATTTTATTGATCACATGATGTTTACGGTTTGACCCGGCATGAAAGCTGGACCATCTATTGGTTCATTCATCTGATTCAACCTATAATAAATTATTTATTTATTTATTCGGATGATCTCTTTTCATGAAAATGCAGTTCTTTTCCCTAATATTCTTTCTTCACTTTACATATTCAAGTTAATAGAGAAATTCAACATATAAGATTACTGCATAACAAATGATGAATTTTACCTAGCTTATCTTACATTTCAATATCTAAAAAATATAGTATAATCTTTTCTTTTATCATGTAGAGGATATTAAATTGAAGGGTTAAAAGAAGATAGAAAGTATTTAATCTATTGATTACAAAATCACTAAACTTGAATATCTTTCTTGGTGTTTATGTCAAGGGTATCTTTGCCAGAATGAGATACTCTCGTTTGTTTGTCTTGTGTGTTTAAATGAACAACGCAACACTCTAAATGGATAATGTAATAACTTTAATTCGTTAATGCATGATTTTTAAATTGACAATGCAACAATTTCATAAAGGTGTTCAGATTTTGAGTTAATGATGTATTGTTGCATCACGATGTAATATGTTATATGAGTGTTGCATCTTTAATTTAAATATGTGTTGCATAAGTGTTTGTTGTATAAGTGTTGCATTTCCTGATGTTGTGTGTTGCAATTTGATGTAAAAGTTTGTTTGGAATTGCTGTTAGAATGATGAAAACGCTTTTAACAATAGAGATGTTATAAATAAAAATCATGTTATGTGTTTGGTAATGTATTTTATATTTTTTTATATTTGAAGTACGTTTAAATTTGTTTGGTAACAATATTGTTTAATGTCATTTTACTCCTAATTTACTACATTAGACATACACAAATAACAATGTTATATGATATTAATGTGAGTATGATTCATTCACATGACATGATTAATGATTAACATGGTATGATTACATCTTATTAACATAGTATGATTACTGGTTAATAATTATTGTGGGAGATAACAACCCATTGAAAGAGTCGTGATTGGTAATATTTTATATTTGTTATAGATAAAAGTCACTCTGGAATTTTTAATTTTGTAGCTTTATCCAATTTTTTAAACTTGTAACAAAATCAAATATATATGTAACCCATTCTGCTGATAAATATTAAGTCTGTGTACAAAGTTCCCAGCAATTATTATTCTTGTTAATTCATGGTATTACAATACAATCTTCCACAATAGCTATTGTCCTTGATTTTGTCCTAATACAACTTTTCTCTCAAATTAGGATATGTTCATCACTTCATTTGTTTGAGGTTGGATACAACCGATTATTTACTTGGCCGCTTTCAATTTTTATAAATTCATCAACTGTATGATTTATGTGTATTTTTCACTACCGAGACACCTTGTCCACCAAAGTTTGTCATCCACTTAGCTGTTACCAACTCTTCAAACATCAATCTAGTCTTGACCAGCGTACTTTTATCTATAACAAACGTAAATCTAACGTTCATTTTATTAAATAAATAAGTCAAATCAGGTTAAACGGATCATAAGTGTCTAAATTTGAATACGATACAATTAATTAAACGAATTAACTATATTGACATGATTATGGCATCGATACAATTACGTTCAACTTAGACCTACTAATTCTTGTTGGGTTCGTGTCATGAGATGCCATATTTTTCCCTTTTGATTGTATATTTGATACTAGGTTTATGATTCAGAGTATCCTTTCCTCCATTATGTTGTTGCTAGCACATACCACCATACCTAAAGATCAAAATTATGATTCTAAGAATTTAAATCAATGAGTTCCACGTTTCAAAAAGGTCTAATGTCTTATTGTTCTTTAAAATTGAGGGTAAAACCTGAATTAATTTTCAAAAGTTGTAACACAAGATAATAAGTATGAGAGACTATGTTTGAGCTTTGAGTGAACATAATTCACTTCTTTTCTTATTTATTTATTTATTTTATTTAATTTTTTTTTTATGCTAGGAAATACAAATATTAGTTATAATATAAATTACGAAAATAATAATATTATTTTTTTATTTTTAAAGGAGTGCAACCTACCTTTTTTTTTGGCCTCTTTCCTTGGCCTTTCTTCTCTCCTTTCTCTCTCTATATATATTATATTTTTAAAGGATTCTGATATGTGCGCTCCAAAGACTTATGAGACTTGTACTTGCAAAAGACTTATAATTTAAAGTAGTCTCTCTCTCCTTCCTCCATTGCCAACCAGTGTTACATCATCTCCTTCAACCAAGGTTTCTCTTATATCACAGATATAGGACACCGGCACGATATTGATACAGTGACACTACAAATTTTAAAAAATTAGGACATGGACACGGACACGGACACGGCAGGAACTCGGCAAATAATAAATATATTATATATATATGATCTTGTACTTTAAGAAATTAAGAGTAATATTAGTTTTTACAACCTCATAATGAAAAAATGTAGCGTTTTGATTGGAAAAAGAAAGAATGATAGAAAGAGGGTTAAGAAAGAGAAAAATAAAACAAAGAGGATTAGGGTTTTGTTTGAATAAGAATTAGGCCTTAGTTAAAAATAAAGGTAAGAATCCACAGAAGAGAAAAAAGTTCATGGGGAATAGAGGAAAAAGGAAAAAGAAACACAAAAAGAAATTTATTATGAAAGGAAAAAAAAGAAGTATCTATGATTTGTGAAGAACAATAACAAGAGAGAAAAGAAAAGGAGGAAGAAGAAGAAGAAGGGAGAAGAGAGAGACAGAGACACCATCCACCAGTAGCAAAACTTGGTTGGTAGAAGAACAAGGGAGTCAAAGATGATCGTGCAAAAGTTCAAACCTTGAACTAAAATATAAGGATAAATATCTAATTGTTCTAATATAAAATTGTTTTATAAAACAACAACTTTTAAGTAATTATGTAACTACCACCATATTGTTGAAAGTTATTAAACAACTCCTAATATTTATACTTCAACTTAACATTGTTTCTTAAACTTTCTTAAAAATCCCCAAGAATGGGACACGTATGTCGAATAGGTATCCATGGCGTGTCGGATGCGTGTCCAAGACGTGTCCGGATATTCAAGAAAATATAAAATATTCAGACACATTTTTTGACGTGTCTGACATGTATCGAGGCCGGCACTTGTCAATGTTCTTTGCCTTTTTAGGCATGTCCGTACTTCCTAACTCATATCCTTACAATTTTGTTAGCCTTCCCCCTCTCTCAAAGCTTCAATTTTGAAGGAATATTCCTGAGCCATTTGATTTCTCCTTTTCACTGAAAATATTTTGGTTTATTAAATTGGATTCAATTGTTACAAATAGTAAGATTTATTGAACATAGGATTAAAACTTCATATTACCAACTTCACTTACGATTAATTCGTCCAGATGTTACTAAAAGTAAATCACATCCAGCTTCAAGTTACAAATTATGTGAAATTATTGTGATGGTTGTTAATGGTGATGGGTCACCATTTTGATTGGGTTGTAAGTGGTGGTGGAGGCCGTGAGCTAGAAGAAGATAGTTTAGGGTTTTGCAAAGGAGAGAAGAAACAATGCTGAAAGGAGAGAGAGGGGAGAAGGGGCTTTTCTGTCATTTCAATTTAATAAAAATATAAGTGGAGGGCTAAAGTATTTATTTGGAGCGCAAATGTCACTACCAATTTTAAAAGTTATATTATATTCTTCTCTCTTTTTTTTTGGTATCCAAACTATGGAATGAAAGTTCGTATATTTTTGTTGAAAAATTTCCATGCTAACAACATGGATGCTAAAATTTTTATTTTTATTTTTTCTTTACTTCGCTTTCTTTCACTTTCACTTTCACTTTCTAATATTGGTTTCTATCTAACCAAATGGATCCTTAGTGTCAC